ATTCCCTCTAAGGTCAATGTTAAGCTTCAACACAGTCTCTCACAGACACACACATAGACAGCTTTGGAGTGTGCAGACACGTAGTTGCTGTTATTATACTACTTTCGTAGTCTACAGGAGTCTTGGAGGACTCCATTCCATATATGCACAGCAGATTGTACATGCATACTTGGTGCAAACACTCCTGCTGAGCATGCGTAATATTGCCAAAGAAGAAGGGAAAGAATGTGTGAAGGGGTCCATATGGATTCGCAGAGTTGGGGAGATTATAAAAGTTTTTTCACGTAGACCTTAGAGGGACCCTTGTGGACTCACAGATGCAGAAAGTATAACACAGGCATGATACTATTTTCCGGTCCACTTGAAGGAGTCCACTCCATACGTGTTCCATACTTGTATCTGCACATTACTGCCGAGCATGAACACTCTTTCCCTTAAAGAATGGTTGCTGCCTGCAGAGCCTTGTGACAAATTTTGGACTGCATGCGGACTCTCACAGACTGTGGAGATGATGAAATTTACATCACGTTGACCCGAGCAGATTCTCATGTCCTTGCAGACACAAAGTTTAACGCTGGCTTTAGGGCTAATTAATGCTTTGTCCGCAGGGGGCTGCAAGTGTAGGCGTGACAGAAATTTCGTCATCTGTCTACATCTCCGAGGGCCTCTGAGGAATCATGTCCATGTGCAGTCCAAAATTTAGAGCCACACTGACAGTTTGCATTGCAAATACACTGGCTACACATTTGCCAAAATGTTGCTCAAAACAAATGTTCACTATGAGGAAAGACTATGTGATGAGATTCACCACAATAATAAGTGACGTAGTGGACTTTCATTCGTACATCAATGGAGCCCAAACAGTACTATGCCTAAATTCTCCAGAAATCCTGTGCTATGTCTGCCCACTTTGCTCAGAGGATTGATCAGTGACGTGGTACTGCAGTTCAATCTGGAAGCAGCTGCTATATTCAGTTAAAAGCTACGTGTCACACTGGTGCTTGTGAATCTGTTCTTGCTTCAGTGGTGGACTTTCTTTTTTTTAAAGACTACTTTTCAGGCTTTTTGCCTTCATTAGACAGGACAGTGAAACGTGGGGAGAAGACATGCATGAAATGAGCTGCTGGCTGGATTTGAACCACAGACTACAGCCTCTGTTCATGGGTTGCTGTCTTATCAGGTTGAACTACCAGGGCACCCCAGTGGTGGACTTTTGAAGCCGTTGTGAGGGGAGATGGCCTGTGTCAGCCCTGCTGTTTCTGGCTGAGAGCTCGCTCCAGAACACCAGCTGCCAGTCATCTCAGCTAATCAGCCTGGAGCTGAAGACCTGCACTCCAGCCTTCATTCTCCCCGCCTCCCGACCCGTCTGATTGGGCCAACACCCGGTTCCTTCCACCTTCACCCAATCAACTGCAGCCTTCATCACACCTGGAGTATAGTTTTACAGAAAGAAATAGTGTGAAAACAATGCACTCATCATGAAAGAATATAGTGATGCTATACATCAAATTAAACAGCAGAACCTGGGCTACAAGCACATATCAGCCATTTCTACATGCCTCAAACACAACTCAAACACCAACTAAATGAATTGTCAAATATGCAAATCGCTATAGCGCCACCACGTCAACCCACTCGTCACATTCCTGGCTCTGTCGCTACTGTACCTTATGAAAGACGCACAACCTACCTCTCAAAATGAAGCAGAGAGTCCCCAGATTCTAAACATATCCATCAAAGCTCTCTAAAACCAAAGCATCAGCGAGAAACAACCCAAAGAACAGCAAAAACCGAAACCGCTTCGTCAAACTGTAGTTGTAAAATGTCTCTTACCTTAGCTGTTTTGCCGTGAAAAGTTTGTTTTATCGGTAAATCCACACCGGAATCAGTTAGTACTACTTCCTGTGCCACACGGAAAGCACGTCACCCGTCTCTGGGAGGTTGTGTGAACCGTAGGATACTTCGGCAAAGTGGACGAGGGAGCGAGCGGCGAGAATACAAGATGGCGGTCTACTGATTCTGATTGGCCAAAAGTGCTGTCAATCTCGTTTTGGTGGCAATGGCTATCTTCTATTGGCTCTAACGATTCGAAGGAGGGTTCAATCACCGAAATCGGCCCATCCATCACGGAGATTGGGCCGTGCGTCATCGAGGGAGTTTCACAGCACGTCCAGTCGCCATTACGCACACGACGCGTAACACAGACAGCGGTCTGGTAGGATTTAAAAAAAACTAAAACACTGCTGTATTTGAATGTATTGAACGCCATTAGTGAAATACAAGTGAAATATTTAGTTTGTACATAAGTACACTCAGATGGTCACCAGTGTGCCAAAATGTGCCAAAGTGTCCAAAAATGTCACTTCGCCTGAACTGTCTGGATTAAAAACTTAGTAATTTTGTTCTACTTCACTTTTTCAGAGTCAACCTTTGCAGGGAGAATGTTCACATATTGTGATATGATTTTGGAGAGGTTTAGAGCTGCAGCTGGATCATTCCAAAGAGATAATTATCCTAAAACTGCTCTTTTTTTTTTTAGGCGAACCTGAAATTTTAAAAGTTGTGTGTGTGCCATCTACATTTACTTTTAACCAGTAGCATATATACTGAAATTTACACATCTGAACAAATCTTACAAGTGCTCCTTTTATTATGACACAAGAATTATTCAAATAGACCTTGTGGTTGCAGAGATAAACTGTTTTTATTATGGGTATGTAATTTTCGAGAAAAGGCCTGAAAAATAGCTCAGGGCTTAAAGGGTTAATGTAAACAGTTAACCTTGGTGCTGCTATTTGTGTTCTCTGTAACTTCTGTTGGCAGCTGTAGACTTCATGTGGGAGTTACCTGTGACTTGGTGAAGACTGTAGCTCCAGTTAGTTCAACTTAGTGAAGAAGTTACTTGTTGTCTCTTGATGGTACGTGTTTTGAGGCACTCATTTGTTAAGTTTCTTTTGTTGGTTACAGTTGTTGCTATTGTGTTTAAGTTTGGCTAGGAGGTTTATATATATATATATATATATATATATATATATATATATTGTTCAGATACTTTTGTTACTCTGTTAGTCTTTGTTTGGTTTTATTTGATTCTTTGATTTAGCAACATCCACTCACCCTGTTTTCTTCGTATGATCACTGTTTTTTGTGTGTTAATTACGTCACTAAGCGATAAATTGCTTTACCCAACCAATAACAGCTGGTTCTTTGTTATTCCCAGTCAACCCTAGACAGCTGGGTTGTAATACACACCCAGCCAGTGCTTTTCTTTGTTCAGTATGAAAATACAGCAATTGATGGCAGCCTATTGTCTGTGAATGGTCCTGCAGTAACTATGAACTGGCCTTAAGGAGATCCATGCCAGTAAAATGATCCTCTGAGTACAACAGAGCCACTGGACAGCTTCACTGTGAGGTCAAGAGTTCAGCTTTTTCCCTTAATTCATCACCCATGTGAATTTCAAGGGTAACTGTGTATATTGAAAATCCAGACCGCAGAGCACCAAAAATGTAGTTTTTAATGTATTCCAGTGAGAGTTTTGAAGGTCAGTACATCTCTGGGTTAACAAGCTGCTCACACTGAGTTCTGGCTACGGGCCAGCACTTATATTGCAAACTACATGCTATGCATCCTACTGTGTAAGTTAATAAAGGTAAATCGAATGCTTTTTTGTTTTTTTTTTAAAGTAAACCAAACTAAATTTCAGGATGTTTGCAGCAAATATGGTTTGATGAGAAACTTATGAAGTAGGTTTTTGATAAATAATCAGACTGGCTCCAAATCTTCTCTGTAGCTCTATGAAGCTTTGACATCTTGAAATTCCAAAAAAGTAAAGAAGTTGTCGATCACACAAATGCATCTGGAAACACTTGTCTGTACAAAACATTGTGTCAGTCACTGAAATTGATGTTACTGGATTAGAATAAAGCCTACAGTTAAATAACATACTGTTTAATAGAACCTAAAATTAACTTATCTGGACTATGATGGCAACCAGCGCCACACTATACGTCATTTCAGTGTTCGGAAGAGGAAACGGCGTGATGCTGTTTGCACCTCAGGATGAATCTTCTCTTTCAGCTCTGGGGGCGTTAGTCTTGGGACAAATAGAATTATCAAAATGTTATTCTAAGATGACAAACATCTGACATGATAGATGTCGGTGGCATTTGAAGCAGTTTCATCTCTTCTAATTAGACTCTCCGCCTGTCGTAGTGGCATTTTTTGGTTATTGCTACCCTCTCGCTCACCAGTGGAGGTTTAATAAGCGGTCCTCATCATGTCCCTCATAGCTCAGGAGATGCAGATGGTGAATGGCTAATGGATTATGACTGCACCGATGTGGACAGACAGAGAAACACAATGTACTACTTCACATACTCGCTATGTGTTGAGTTATTTGTGAGCACCATCTGCTGGAGGAGGGCAAAGAATTCTAATCTTTTTCCTGCCGTGATTACCCCAGACTCCAATGAGTCATGTTTTCATGAAGAGGAGAGGGGGGGGCAAAAAAAACTAATCACAATGAGCGGAAAAATAAAGATTGTTTGATGACTTTTTATTTGGAAAAAACCCTGATTACATGCTCACCCCAATACTTACAGTGATGTGTGTTTCTTGGTTATGCACTACACATAACAGTTCATTTATAAGTGCTGACATTTCAGTGACGATGAACACAGTATATACAGTGTGTAAGACAATGTGATTTTCTTGAAAAATTGTTTCAGTTGAGGGTAGGATTTTTTAAAATAAATACATACAAGTGCAACTATGGTTGTGTGAGCTACTTCACAGCTGCATGAGAGACACAAATCATGAAACACAAAAGGCTGAGGCACTATATTGCTTCATTTCTCTGACAAAACCTTAAGAAAAAAAAAGCTTCTGACCGTGACGGCTGACTAGCCCCGATCACTTCCCTCATCTCTCTCTCTGTGTTCTTTGTGAGCTGCGGCTTCAGCGTATTGATCCTTTCAGTTCAGTGGAAGCACCATCAACTTCCCCATCTAATGGCCAATTAAGAAAGTAAACCAGTGCATCTTTAATACTGACATAAAATCTATGTAGTGATTTGTTGAAAGTACTTGTGTCAGACTCAAACCTAATCACTTCAAGAGGGATTAAGGTGAGGGTCAGAGAGAGAGAGAGAAGGAGACGATGACATGTTTTTATGAATTTTGGTGTAAAAGTTTTCCTCAGTTATAAAATGTGGATTTTATCCCACTTACACTGAATAAGAAAAGCGTGGTTTAGTGCTACAGCGACTACAAATAGCCCAGCCAGTGCAATGGAAGATTTAACAGTGTGCACCTGTGTATGTCCGGATGTGTGTGGGATTTTGTGGATGCGCTTCAGAAAAGGCAAGAGTGGGAGTACTACATCTAGCCAGCAGAGTCAGTCTCCAAAGCAGGCATCTGAGTGATATCTCAGTCACTCTCTTTCAATATATTCTCATTTTAATGGGTCAGTTCACCCAATTATGTAAAATGAAATTACATAAAATTGGTTTTGCATGTCCAGATTTTTAAATATCGGCGTATGAAGTACAAAGCTCTGAGAAAGGGAACATGTCTATGGTACGTCTTAATTTGGGGAGATTTATCAGTTGAGGTTTGGCCTTCAAGCATTTGACAAATTAAACTCTGGGGTGGTAACATTATAATCAGAAGATCATCAAAATGATTAAAAATCTGTCTAAAGGGCTTGTGCATGTCTTTGCAAACTGCTGTCAAGATATAGAAGTGGACTATGCAAAGGTGTTTACATGTAAATGCTTGTACCGAGAAATTGCTAAGTCAACCATTCGTTTAAGGGATATCGTAAAATCTGGGCACATAAAAGCAAAAACTGCTGTGTATATATATGGCTCCATACCAGGAGAGGTATGTCAGAAAATACACTGATCAGCTACAACATTAAAACCACTGACGGGTGAAGGGTATGTCATTGATTATCTCAAAGTCCTGGCATTCATGTGGATGCTACTTTGGCATGTACCTAAACATTGTTGCTAAGCGAGGACGCTGCAGGACATTGTGCCCCATCACATCACAAAAAGTGGCCCACCACATCTACACAGTCTTAGGTCAGTGGTTCTAATGTTGTGACTGACTGGTTTCTGTCTTCTGTATTTTGGGTGAATTAACTCTTTCAGCTATTTTGCTTGTATTTTAAGCATGACTTGTCACTTCAAAGCATTAAAGAGTGGATAGCGTTCAGGTGGAACCACAGTAGTGATTCCAAACTGATCAGTAGTACCATGTTGTGTTCATATGAACATCGTCAGTCCGTGTTTGGGCTCCAGGTGGCTGCTCAGCAGTCGGTCCTTCGCCCCGTCTGGCTCCATCTCTGCTACCCTAAAGGCCAACAGCAGTCCAGACTACTCTTGAGGGCCCGGGGCTTTCATGACCATGCTGGCTCCAACCATGCCTGGATAACTCCGGTTCCTCCTCATTCCATCGGGCCCAAAAGGGGAGCCGGATCTACGCAGCCCACCCAGAGGCCCCAGGATGGGACTAGGACTCACTGCTCTCCCCCCCTGAGCTCCAGCCACGCCCAGCCGCTTGACCTTGTCCAGCAGGTTGAGGTTGTGGACGGTCACGCTAACGTCTGTTTGGCTCTCACAGTCCCTCCCTCTTTGCCGGCCTCTCTTCCCCTCCGTCACCTCCTTCAGAATGGACCGGGCCGGTTTGGAGGCCAGGAAGTTGTCATAGGAGGGACTCTTGAAGTCGAAGCCCGCGGAGGTTGGCACAGCTGAAGCTCCCTGTCTTGTGGGGGAGTTCGGAGGGGTTGAGGGACGCAGAGGGTCAGGATTGGGCGGTCGGTTCGGGGCGATGGAGGTGCTGAAGAGGACTCCTCCGCTGCCCTGACCGTACTCCAGGCCCTGGCTCTGGTGATACATGGCTGCTGAGATTCCTCTCTCCTGGAGAAGGCGCACTAACCCCAGGGAGGTGCTGGTGGTGCGTGTTGCATCTCTGCACAGATAGGAGACAGACACGAGTGAAAAAAAAATCACACAATCTGATTCTTTATTTGCCATGTTTTGTTCCAATGACACTTTGTTGATCTAGAGCAGGGGTGTCAAACTCTGGTCCTCGAGGGCCACAATCCTGCATGTGTTAGATGTTTCCAACACACCTGATTCAAATGATCAGCTCATCATCAAGCTCTGCAGAAGCCTGATAACGATCCTGATCATTTGAATCAGGTGTGTTGGAAGAGGGAAACATCTAAAACATGCAGGATTGCGGCCCTCCAGGACCAGGATTCGATACCCCTGATCTAGAGTGAATGCCTTTATCCAAGTAAATAAGTAACAATCACCTACTTCATTTACAAAACAGCATTCTGTTTCCTTCAGCAGCAGAAACGAGATATCATTTTACAGAACAGCTGAGTGTGCCAGCATACTGTATGTGGTGCCTTGCCTGAGGTTAGTTGAGGATTCAGAGGGCCTGAGACTGAGCCTGCGGGGCGTGCAGGGAGTAGCAGCAGGAGTACCCAACAGAGTGCTGGTCATCACGCAGGAGGACGACGCAGGGACTGGGTTTAGACTGAAGAAAAACAAGAGGAAATTACACACTGAGACACTCAGCTGTGAAGAGATGCTACTTCTGCTTGACTTCACCAGCTTCAATTGCACTTTTGTGATATGTCATCATCATAACAAGCAAAACAGCAGTTGTTGTGCACAGAGGATGTTTGAACCGTAAGCACCTACATGTATTATTTAGCCCATTCCTACTGTCTAGCAGAAAACTGACTAAATGTTGTTGCTTAGGTTCCCACCTCATTTAGTTCTGTGAGATTTAGTCACGCAGCTTCTACAAGCGTAACACAAGATAACTACAATTAATTGCATAATGTGTTAAAGCTGTGTTTATGCTTCTCCCTTAAGTAGCTTTATAGTCTTTTAAAGGCATGCATCATTCAAGAAAGGAGAAAATGTGCATTCTTAGGAGGCAAACACCTGACAGCTCCTATATAAATCTAGTGTTATTAGTATTGTAACAAGGCATGTGCCATTAAATCACTACTTTGCAAAACTCTGCAATAGTTGAGTATGCTTGAATTCTGGTGGCTCAACAGAAAGCCGACTTTAATCGTACGTTTTCGAGCAGCAGAGGCAGTGTGTCAGCGGCGTTCCTTACCTGGGCGTCACCCGCGTCTGCTCATCAGTCGGGTGGAGAATCCGACAGGTTGTAAAGGTGTAGGTGGAGCTGGTGTGGGCCATGCATTTACCTGGGTAGTATGCGGCTGGAAGTCAAGCAGACACGGACAATCATTTTCAAGCACCAGGTGTTTCACGCAGGTTCAACAATGTCAGAATTTACATATCCACATGTAAATGTACAGTCCCGCCTCACCCAGAGCGTCGGTGTTGCTAAGATGAGGTGACGGCGATGGAGAAGGCGGAGAAGGTGGAGCGAGGCTGGGCGGAGGCTGCCCGAGGTTTGCGTCTCCCGTGCTGGAGGTGGAGGGAACGGCCGGGGAGGCAGAAGCTGTGGAGGTGGGCAGATTCTGGAAGTATTGCTCTCCTGGTTCATCCTCCTCAAAGCCACCCCACGGGTACACCTGCAGACACAGCAGCAGAGCGTACGAATCAGAATGAACCATTATCATCAGATAAAGGAAGAATTATTAAGGGTTAGTGTCACGGGTAGCTTGCAGGTAACAAATACAGTCATGCTGTTTAAGGATTTTCTTCTTCATCACTTCCCTCTAAATATTCTAACAAAGTTTTGATTCCTTTCTTTTATTTAATGATACTTAGGTAGGGACAGATGCACTATACATTGGGAATTCCACAACATTTACCCAGTGCAGTGAATCACAGCATTTGTAGGTACTGCTTTGTTCCAATGAGTGTCTCTAGAAAAGATTTGAAGGTCAGTCATCCTATCCTGTCTGAGGAAGTATATGGCCAGTATATTTTTTGTTCATCACTGTACACTCAGAGCACAGGTAGATAAACAGCTACTTGATGGAGAATTGTACTGTACACTACTCTAGTCACGAAAACTGCAAGTGTGCAGAATTAATTACACTAAAAGCATGCACTTGTTTCCACTAAGTAGTTAAACCCAGCAGCAGTAAACATACAGAGAATCATTTCCATGAACGTTGTAGATATGGACTCTCGTACACAGACCTGCTCCAGCTCTAGTTCGAGCGGTCTGTAGCCTTTTGGCACGACTCCCGGCCTGGCATCCAGAATCACACCAAGGTGAGGCTGAGCTAACTGCTGCCAGTGGTGCAGGGTGGCAGAGCCTGGTGGAGACAAAGGAACATAACTGCACACACACAAAAAAAACACTTAAAGGAATATTTAGTTTTGAAACGGTTCTTTCATCATCACCAGACACTTTTACTGAAGAGACTTGAGTGTCCACTGGTTTCTGTTAGCAGGCTTAAAAGACCTACATTTAAAATTCAAAAATCACAAGATTCATCATCTATAGTAATAATTAATAGTAGTAATTGGTTTTGCAGTACGGTGCAGGGACAACTTGCAGCTTTTCTACTGCAGTAAAGTGGATGTGACATACAAATCAGAGCATTTGCTAATAACTGGCTGTGGATTTTATGACAAAAGCATGACATATAACCCATAAATTAATCTATTTAATACCAGTAACATCTTTTCAAGGTCTCTGTAATGAACATATCCATGAAAAAGGAACAACTGAAGAGTGATCAAGATGACAAAGATGAAAAAAGAGACAGTAAAAATCGATGGAGAGCAAAAATGAAATGAGATGGAGGAGCGAAGCAGCATGAGAAAATGTTTTTATTTGTCAGACACATATATTGATAACAGACAACAGAGAGAGCAAGAAGTGACAGAGTGAGCAACGCAAAAATGAAAAAAAAATAAATAAATAATACAAATAATGAAACACATGAAGAAGGAAAAATGAAAAAGAAGAAACAGAATACACATATAAATGAAACATGTGGAAACAAAGGCAATAGCAGGACTTCTATATATTATGGATTGACAGTGTAATTCTAAATAAAGCATGAATTATCACCAGCAGAGGGCGGCACAGGTAAACTGCAGCTGATGTGTCTTTTTTTCTCTTACAGGTCAAAATTATCCTAAAGCTGCAAATGATCTGGACACATTCATAGACTGTATATAAAAGTCACAAACCAATGTGTAACGGCACAGTGGCCACGTTCCTCTTTTATAGACAGTCTATAGATGCATTGCGTAAACAGAGAGCCATCCCCTCTTTCTTCCCCTGTTCAATCATGTGAGTGTCTGCCTACAGCCACCCTCTGGGCTGTGTGTCTTTGCAATAGCTGTGTGGAGATGCAAAGCGGCCTGACTTGTGATGATGCATCATTGACCAGAAAGATTTGAAGAGCATCAGTGAAAGCGGCCTCTCTTTCCTCTCCCTCGCACCCTTCATCTTCCTACCACCGGCTCGGTCTCTGGCCCACCTTTTTCCTCTCTCCCTCTCTATCCCAGCCCCAGTCCTCCTTTCCCATCCCCATCCTCTCTCCCTTTCCCTTTCCCGCCCATGCCAGCTCTCTCGTCTCCTCTCCCCCTCGCCCCCCCAGCCCTGTCTGCTTCCTTTCTTTGCCCCGACCCCTCGGTGCCGCTCGCCTTCCCCATTCCTCCCCACCTTGCAGCTCGTCTCACGCTCCGTGTCTCCCTCACCTTCAAGGGGTTTGACGATCTGGAGTTTATCAGGGAGGTAGGGTCCTCGTGAGGCCCACAGATGGAGGTTTCCGAGTGACATGATGCTTTCGGAGGGGGTCAACACGCTGTCCTGGCCCAGGGCGTCCTGGAGTCCGGTGTGTCCTCCTCGTCTCCGCTCTCTCTCCTCTTCAAAGAAGCGCCTCTCGCTCAAGTTGTTTTGTCGTCGCAGAGACAGACGGCGCAGAGCTAGCCGAAGATCCTCAGCACCGGTCGCCTTCTTCTCTCGGCCCTCTGTGCTGTTGACGGAGCAGGAATGACACAGAACAAGAACGAGAACACTTGTCAATAATTCATTCTTGAGAAAACTGTTGTTCAAATAACTACTTTTTCACTGTTTGTCATTCAGCATATTGACCCACTCCTCCTCACCTGTCCTGGTTGGATGCCGTCTCCATCAAAATGCTCTGTGTTCGGTTGTCAAGGGCAAAGCTGTCTCCGCCGAGGTCACCTCCATACATAGTGGAGTGGGGAGTGGTGAGGCCGCTAGACTGGGGCGATGTTCGAGCTGAAAGAGACTGGTTGGAGCCCGGGATGTTGGAGCTGGTTGGAGTCAGTGATCGCTGACGGACTGTCTGGTTCACGTTCTTGACCGTCTCAAACACACGCTTCCGATGGACCCTGAGCACAGCCGAACACAAAAGTCTGTAATGTCCTTCTCTGCGATTAGAGTGGGTCAGAAAGCTCTGGTTGGACCTTTGTTATTTCAACTTGTGATGATTGTAGTTTCTCAAGTGAACCTCAGTGAATGGAGCCAAAGAAGCACTGACTTTCTGCTGAGCTTGTTCACCCGGTTGACCATCCAATTTAATCCACATTATTTATTATTTATTGCCCTTGATGGGCTGCATCAGCTACTATCAGCTGATGAATAAGATCAATACTTTAAAAGACATGAACACTTATATAAAATATGCCGGTAAAATCTTTTTGCCTCTTTCTATGCCCAGCAACAGCCACGCAGGACGATGTTTACCTCGTTTTATTGAACCGAATATTTCAGGAAGGCATTGAAGGACTTTCATCATACGTCACATCTGATTGAACTTCAGGATAAACCGATTAGCTCTTGGTGGTCAAAGATCACTGTGCCCTCACCAAACACACAAGGCCTTAAGAGTCATTTTTTTTTCTTAAGAGTCATCACAGTTTTTCTGCAGCAAGTCAAACAATATCTCCCAAATGTGCACAGGACAGGGGGAAAGGAATTAAAGAGGAGATGGTTGGAAAAGAGGCAGTGAGAGCAAGATCGAGGTATGTAACAAATATTAACCATATAAGTAAGCTAACTAGCTGCGTAAATAAAAACACTCTTTCTGCAGAATGGCAGACTCCACCTATAACCAATGAACCTGTGCTGTTTTTTGACATCAATTTCAACCCCAAAATAAAACTGGAATTTTAATTTTCTAATAATTCTTCCCACTAATTGTGTGTTTTGACTTGCTTTTTTTCTGTAACACTAAATGGTGTTTGTGCAGAATTATACGCAGGAGATGGCTTTTTTTCTTACTCTAATCCAGCTACAACAGATATTGTAAACTGTAAAAACATCATCCATAACTATTTTCTGTTAAAACAGAATGTAAAGTATACTGATTGTCCACTATACACAATTCTTACTGTGTCACATTAAGTTCTTTAACCATACATACTTCTGTTCTTCACACTCGGGGTCATCCATACTCAACTCCTTCCTCATGGTTCCTTCAATCTCAGCGGCCAGAGAATCCTGCAACACCAAAACTCTTAAATGAAGGGGAGATGAAAACGTGAACACACTCCAACACGCGCACATACTCCCTCCCTCACCATTGGGTACAGTCCCAGCGGGTGGTAGCGGCGGGGGGTTCCTGCAGGGTAGTTTCTGTTCCTCAGGTTCTTCAGCTCCTCTTGAGCTTCATGCAGCATCTCGATACACTCGGAGTACTTCTCCTCCAACTCCTGGAGCTGTTGTGACATTGTGGTTAAAGTTTATAAGCAGCCTACACTCAGAGAAATACAGTGTTAACAAAGAGCAAAGCCTGATTGGACGACAGCTCGGAAAGCAAGGAGCGTTACCTCTGCTGTAAGCTGCCTCTGAGCATCTTTAGCTGCCATCAGGTGTTGAGAGAGCTCCTCGTTTTCCACTGCATACTGGACACACATGAGGTTTGCTTAGCAACACTAGACTACAACATCACACCACTTAAGTTGAAATGTGCCTGTATGTGTTTATAAATGTGTGCTCACAGATTTGGCTTTCTTCTGAAGATCTACTATCTGAGACAGGAGGTGTGTGATCTCTTCTTGCTGCCGTGAAGCGTCCTCAGTCTTACGCGCCAGTTCTTCTGCTATGGTAGAGATTTGGAGACTGGACAACCCTGAGAGGGCACAGGAAGGAATTTGATAAGTTAAGGAGAGAAACGTGAGGCTGTCAGGTACTGGGTAGTCAGTGATAGAATGCACATTGTAAAAAGTGCTGAAAACAAGTTTCGTTCAGATGCACACACATGAACAGGAAAACTGCAACAAAAAGACAAAGACAACACACGACTTACTGAGTTCTTTGACACAGTCATTGACAAGCTGCTGCTCCTTTTCTTCATAGGTTTCGGTCTCTGATTTTAGATGATTAGCCTGCAAACAGACATCTGTGATTAAACCAAACATTCTGAGCAGTTTCGGGTTCTCAGTTTCATGATGCTGTTATTGTGTGTGTGTGTGTGTGTGTGTGTGTGTGTGTGTGTGTGTGTGCTACCTCGGAGCGCAGCGACAGGTTTTCTTCTTCGAGCTCTTTGAGTTTCCTCTGGAGTGTGTCACTCACAAAGCCTCCAGAGGCTGTTTCCACTTTGGTCTTTTTACCCCTTTGGTTAAAATAAACACAGAGTGAGCTGAGCCCATATAAGAGCGCCTTGTGTCAGTCGGTGCTGAGAGTAACTGCCCTAACTCCGGTCTGACACGATCCCACCAGTGTCACGACAATACCAGTCAGAACATACACGATAATGCAATGTAAGAAAAAACTATTTGGAACACTGGAGAGATGAAACTACGAGCCAAATTAGACTAGAACGCTATCTGGACCTACAACGACATTATTAATTAGCAGAGTATCTCTTTACTGTCACACACAGTGACCACAAACTATAAAATGAAAAAAAAAAGACAAAAAAACCATGTCAACAAAAAGAAAACAGAATATGTGGTCACTGTTGGACAGGTGAGGTTAAGACAGGGTCCCGACCTCCCACAATGTCAACACGAGTAATGAGAAACAAGTTGAACTCTGTAAGTCCAGATTTTAAAGATATGAAGGCCACCTCAAAATTACAATATACTACTGTTATTATATCACTATTATTGTGCACAATCGAAGTATTTTCACAATTATATTATGACGCGGTTTCTTGAAACTTTCTTCGTAGCTACAGGATCAACTCTCTGGACTCGTTTGGTTATTAGCTGAAATGCACTTTCAAAGGGGTACATTATAGCATCCACAGACTGGAGGAGCAACATTGTGTGACAGCAAAGGCAAAGAACAGACACTAACGTTGGGGAGCTGCTGGACTCGTCCTCGCTCTCCTCAGCTGCATTGGTGTAAAACTGCAGCAGCTCATCCTTCAGGTTCAGCTCATGGTGCAGCTGGGCCACCTGGAAGAGAAAAGACACCGTTCAACACTTGTGCACGCGGTACTAGAACATGACTAAGCCGAACGCGTGTCGGTGTGCAGACCTCCTCCGTGATTTGCCCCACTTGTTCCTCCAAATAGTCATTCTGCTCAGTCAGACTTCGGTTCTTCTTAAGAAGCGACTGGCCGATCTTTGCAGCCAACTCCAGGTCTCTCTCTTTCTATTGGTTGGAAGAGAAGTAAAATATAGCTGCAATACCCAGAAATCTGATGACTGAAGTTCAGTAAGTTTATATTCTTGTTGGTGCCCTACTCATTCACTGCTTCATGTATTTTGCTGACTCTTCAGTTTAGTTACTAGGCACATGTGCAGTGCAGGATCTTGTCTGGTGAAGCCTCACATTGTGACTTAGTTTGATTAAAAAGAAATAAAAAATCCTTCCCACTACAGCTCTGAGTTACACTGACAAAAATAGAGCATCTCACCTCCTCCAACAAACGTGTGACAGCATCAATGTCATTGTAGGTCTTCGTCATCTGGCCCACTCTGTCTGCACATAGCACTGTGGAGATACGAACAGAGGGAGAAAACGGTGGATTTAAAATGAGAAAGAAGCTGCAGACTCCAGTTGTGATATACAAACACGTCTGATGGCACACATGCACACGGCCACGTTATGTAACACTGAACGTTTAAAAAGCCATCGGCTCAGAGGTGGTGGACGGGTCATGTTTAGGACCACTAATGAACACAGTTGTCTTCTATGGCGAACAGCACAGTTGCTGCCCCGAGGTGACAGCTCGCATCGATTTCAGAGCTCCAGTCAATAACATGCTGCACACAGTTATTGAGTGCATTATGGTAAACCTCTGTAATCCTGCTAGTATTATAATCTGCACAGAAGTATTGAATTAAAGCACAAAAAACACAAATAGGTGATCAAGCTATGCTCCAACTCACATGGACACAACAATGAAATGAATTTGTAAGTGTGTGTTTGCACTCGAGCTCTGAAGTGTCACAACAGAGCAAATTCAAAGTCAGTAAGCTGCAGGAAAATCATGTTAGTGAATAGAATAAAGCCTGCGAAAAGCTCCAGTGCACAATTATTTACCAGGGAATATACACACAACGGTTTCATGTTGCTCTGCTGCACTGCTAGAGATCCTGAAATCATGAAAATACTGCCTGCAACTTTCTGCAGTCACTGAACAAACTGTGACGGAGAAACCTTGAGCTATAAAGGTAGGCAGCTTCCACTTCAGTCCACTGTGCATACACATCAAAAATCCAAAGAACACTAGAAAAATGCCACAGCGAAACTGATCACATACTACATCTCGTTAAACAAATCTCTTTCTGTCTTCTAAACATGCACTCTACCTGTCTTGTCTTCCTTACAGTTCCAGTCCTCCAGGTCACATTCATTAATAGCTAGTCTCCCCATCCTGCCCTTGCTGTCCATATCCTCCTGTGGTTTCACAATGACCGGCGAACAGAAACGACCACCGCTCCAAACACTGATCCATTCACTTTCCAGCTCTCTAACTCCCGGCTACAGCGTAATTCAGAGACTGAATTAACCTCCGCCTCCATGGACGCCACTGTGAGCGAGTGCGAGGGAGGCGGAGAGAAGAGTTTTGGAAACGCTCTACAGCTGCTGCAACGGAAGCAGAAGCCGTATTATGATTGGACGGCAGAGGATGCAAAGAGGAAGATGAGGTGGGCAGTTTATAAGTACCAGCAAAACTCCCACATCTCTCTCCTTTTCACCTTTCTCTCCCGACCTCCCCTCTGCTCTCTTCCGCTGTGCACTGGGCTGCAGAACATGCATCTGCTTCGAGCAGCTGTTACCATGGTGACCCTCATCCACAAACAAACCCCTGACACATGCATGAACATGCACACTCACTCTTTACCATTGATCGAGCTGCAAACAAACACAGGCTGAGCTCCAACACAGTAGACTGGGGAGCCATAATCTAACTTCCTCCTGATTCCACACAGTAAGATCCGTAGTTAAGATCAACAACAACGTATCTTACGAGGATAACTTACACGCTATGTGCTCCAAAGAAGAGCAGAAAATATCTCGTATTTGAACCATCCATCCATCCATCATCTATACACCGCTTAATCCTCACTAGGGTCGCGGGGGGACTCGAGTCTATCCCATCAGACTCAGGGTGAAGGCAGGGGACACCCTGGACAGGTCACCAGTCTATCACAGGGCTACACTTAAGAGACAGACAACCAAGCACACTCACATTCACACCTACGGACAATTTAGAATCATCAATTAACCTCAAAATGTTTTTGGACCTTGTGGGAGGAAAGAAAGATTCCGGTGCCCCCACCGTGACGCGAACCGGCAACCTTGTTGCTGCAGGCAACAGTGCTGACCAACTGCGCCACGTTGCAGCCCCATATTTGAACCAACAAATGGTTAATGGGTGGTGACCCGAAAGCCGAGAGGTTAGGGAGCCCTGAGCAGTGAGTCTCTGATTTGATTCCCAGCTGGCCTTTGCTGCATGTTATTCACTCTCCTACCCCCATCTCTCTCTCCACTGTCACTGTCAGGCAAAGACAGTAAAATTCCTCCAAAATAATTTTTAAAATAAAAGAAAAAGGTGACGCAAGAATTAAATCTAGCTAAACTCAAAGAAAAGAGGCCCAGTTAATGTCTAGATAAAGGAGAAACAGCAAACTATTGACCTCATGACACGATACGCTCTCATTATAAATTAAGTAATAAACAACACAGACAACTTGGAACCTATTGGATGACACAGGGAAATGAATAAATTAAGCCACAACCACACAATAGTCCAGACACAGGCGTTGTGTTGTGTTTAAAGTCAGCAAACAGAGACAATAAATCCAAGACTATAAGTAGCATGATGGTGGGCACCACCTTGTGGAAGGAGGCTTCAGTGTCAGTTACATCAAAACAGGACAAACGAGACTGGAGATAAAAATACGATTAGAAACTGATACACTAGGTCACATCCGCATGTATCAGAAAATCAAAAACAGATCAGGTGAAATTAGATGCACACTGCTTACAAAATGTGGCTATTGAGGCAGCCTGTGTTCATAAAGATGAATGCAAAAAGGGTTTTATGTTTTCCAAATAAACTTCATCCAAGCATTCTGAGCAGAATCTAACACACAAGAAGCTATATGAATGTTTAATGTGAGAAAGCGGTGCTGTCATCGCTCCCTAAGGCTCGTCTCTTTATTCAGAAAGCCTCTGTGTGTCCAGTGTATTTGGCAGAGTGGTGATATGGCACAGGGAGGAGCAAAAAATGTTCTTTAATAAAACACCATGTATTGATGCTCCAGGGCTGGCTAACACAATCGCTATCTGTTAACGTCCACCACATAGAAAAGGGGCTCATTGATTTTGACTCAGTCAGGAACTTTGACTTTAAAGAAGCACACGCATTTGATTTAAACAAGAAGTCCATTCAATTCTGTCTTCAGGCTACATGTATACATGTCAACAGCAGTTCCATTTATCTCCAAGTTCGCTGCACATGTTGCAAACACTCCACACTGCTGATCAATAGATGCCAACATTTAGAGAGCAGTGCAGCTTCTGGCAAATATATAAGGCCGATGACATGTTGGGCCTTTAATAACAGCATTTACCAGAAGCTAGCAGCACCTCCTGCTACTGGTCTGGTATTGAAGCAAATGTATTGTGCCACTTTCTGTTGCCAAAGCACTGCTGCTGTTTAGGGGTTTATCTTAGCTCATCAAATGACACTGAACCTCTGTGCATAGCAGGTAATTGTAACATAAGCTCACTCTGTTCAAGCATCTGTTTTGCAAAGTCCCCTGTTAATTTTAGACTTATCGTAAACCTGATGCGCTACTTCAGACCTGTAGTTATGTCTGCAGAGAACTTTTGTATGTCAGCCACATCAGCTGATGTCCATTATGTCAAAATGACATTCAGTCAACCTGACTAACCTGTCTGTCACTATTCCATTTGGCAATTTACACAACTGAAAACAATCAAATCCTGCTTTGTCTGATCACAAAATGTAGCAGGCAAATTCAAAATACTTGCAAGTGCAAAAATACATAGGCATGGCATCATCACCAAGCATAAAAGGCAACTTCTATGCAGCCAATTATGACACTTTTGTGTATGTTTAACCCTGACATGCTCTTACATTCTTGTTTTCAATACATGCTGCAGTCGTGAAGCACTGTGTTTATTACAACCTCATCTTGTGCTATAATAAAGTCCCAGCAAAGCCTCTGTGTAAAACCTTCCTCCTCTTTCCTTACTGCTTTTACACCATCTGGATTTAAAGAATGAGCAAACCAGCCAGACTTACAAAAGTATTTGAGGGTCTCTTCGATCTGCTCGGTGGTCAGGTCGAGCCTGGCGTCCGGCGCGACCAGGGGGGTGTGCAGCCAGTCATCGTGGTCGTAGCCGTAGACGGTGTCGGCCCGCAACCGGTACACAGGCAGCTGCTCCTCCAGAAGACTGATGATCTCAAACTCTGGCAGGTCGGTGCTGTTGCACACATCTGAGCATCACAGAGAGGACAAGTGAACCCGAACTCGTAAAGTAAATCACAACTAAATATTTCTCTTTAATAATTAGCTTTATCTCCACCAGGCATAAAATTAAAATCTTACAAATGCAACAATGTATAAGTTTAAAAATCACTGAGTTCTGGATTTTTTATATTATGCAGTTTATACTTGTATTTATTACTTAAGTAATATTTTCAGAGCAGGAGTATCTTCACATACATGCATCATCTCGAGATGTTTGGCTAAATGGAAGTCTTGGTAACAAGTAATTTATATTTTAATTATTATACGATTTGTGCTTACACAATGACTCTATTGTTCTTTGCGACAGTTTTCTTTGTGAAGTAATGCTGCTTTAAATAATCAAAAATGCAAACATTTTTACGAGGGATCGCGATGTATCGGCGACCACATCAGCGTCGGCCGGTATTAGTGCTTTTTCCCATGTATCGGTCTGATGAACAGATTTCACTGTGAAAAACCTTTGATTGTCTAACATTAGCGCCTACATTTTATATTGCTGCTATTTCACAGATGTTTCTACTTAAATGATCCTGGACTTAAACATTAACTATGTTTAAATATGTTTTACTTTTGTTGCATAATAAAGAAGACTATGTGGTCTGATTTGGTATGGGCTTCTATTAAATAGTTTTCACGTTCTCACAGTGCTTATTTTCGGTTGAACAAAAATTGAATATCGACAACGGTAATATCGGATATCGGCAATGTCAGAAATCAGAAATCTCGGTATCAGCCTGAAATTTCTATACCGTGCATCACTAATTTTTACTAAACCAGTTGTAGAAACAACAGCAATACTAAGCTCTTCACACCACAGTCTAAAAACTGAGTCACACATTTCAAGCTGTGTGGCTATTTTTGGAAACTGTGTTGTGTTAACTTCAGTTGGAGGCGTTGTTCTTTCATGCTGTGATAAACGTCGACTATCCTCGGGTTAAAAACACTTTAACTAAAGCTGTGTTTTCCACACACTCATGTACCTGTGATGGTCTCGGCGTCCCTGCAGTCGGGAGGTGCCGGGTGGGTGTCGAGCTGGCTGGACTGGCCCTCGCTCACATACTGCTCCTCCTGGGTGGGCCGCTGGTCGGTGTCAGGGTCCGGGTCCGGGTCCAGGTCCGGGTCCGGGGGCAGGGAGGGGGCCGGGGAGGCCAGCTTGGCTCACCTCTCACTGGTGGAGAGAGACGGGGGCCATGAGGAGCTGGAGCTCCACTGGGTTAACAGGTCCAAACGACTGATGCGAGACGACAGGTGTGGATACCTGGAGGGGACAGCAGAGACCTTTACAGAACCATACTTGCTGTAATCCAAACTCCACATAAATCAATGCATTGCTTTCCCCACAGAGTCTTTAACTTCAAGTGCTGCTGCTGACTCTGCAGTGTGCTGTCTGCCAGCTAGCTGCATAAATCAGAGCATATCCACTGCAGACTCCACTTTTCATCTGTCGGGAAATGACTATGGAGGCAAATGGGGTAAAGAGCAACCCTCGATAAGAACGCTACATGGTGAGCATGTTCTACTTAATTGATCCAAGTACAGGAAATCACAAAGACAATCTTGCTGGTAACCTATTCTGCAGCTCTCACCTCCTGACCTCCCAGTCACCCTGCAGGCCTCCTCTACAGTCACTACAGACACTATTGTGATCTCAGGTCATCCATCTGAAGTGAATACACCGGCGCTCCAGCACGGCGACCTTGCATCTCTCTGTCTGTGCTCTGCAGAGATCAATGCGTCGCTGCAAACGCACAGCAGCAGCAGGACGCGATCAGAAAACACATCACAGATCAGAGAATGAACCCAGATCAAACGGCCGGTGCTGCGGCTTAAGGGGGAGAATATGAATAGATGCAGAAATAAAAGACCCCTGTGCATATGCATGAGTGCTTGTGTGTGAATGGTCGGGTTCATCTGTAGCCTCGTAAGGAAACAGACATCTGGTGATGAAAGAGTGCATGAAATGTTTTTGTGACTGACAAGCACCTGCACCGACAGTAAACCTCTGCTCTGTCCTCTGCTCGGCAGCACCTCAACCTTGGGACGTCTTTCCCATAGCAGCAGTTTGAAAGCTGAAGCTCTCTGTCGGACGACTGTTTAGGAGAAAATTAGGCGTTTAAGCTTCTTTTTCACTGGCCATTTGCAAAATTACATAATCTGTGGGTGAATTCAGAATGTGCCATCACGCACATGCACATTTGGGATTAAAAGTCAAGCATCCTAACACATCACACACACGTTTAAATCCCCAACCGTTGACTGTCTCCACAAAAAAAGGAACTAAAAAGACTTTTGGCAAGGACAAGCTAAGTATTAGAAACAATATATTGTCTTAAACTGAGAAGAGACAGATCGAAAGTTAAATAAAGGTTGTTGGATTTCTAAAAGAAAAGCAGTGGCAGTGAAATGATTTAGCCCCAGTACCAGACAGCATACTGGAGGTCCTGCAGTCACAAATGTTACAGCTGAGACCTGCAGGCAGTAAACAGGCCCGGCTTCATTCATGCATGTGGCACACACAGCGCACAGTTTGTCTGAGGGTGTGGCTTCATCCTCATCAGCAGCTCGCGTCACGGATGAGAATCTGGGTTTTCATAAATCGTGTCCTTACAGCAACACAGCGCGATCAGCTGACCTCATGCTGCATGACATCAGCCATCAGGACCAGGTCTGGCAGCAGAATCAGAGTCTACTCACACTCACAGATCCGACGTGTTGTCCCTGTCAAAAAAAATATCCAGCAGGGGACTCAGGTGCAGTCGAGAAAAATCGGCAGTGGAAATGTTGTGAGGACGAGCGGGCAGAGACGCTGTCCGCGCAGCAAGAGTGCGCAGGCCGGGCTGTGATGTGTGGCCGCTCCGGACGCTGACAGCTCCGGCTGATGAAGGTCACCTCTGACTGGCTTCCAGACTCGTTCCTGACCCGGTCCACTCCTCCTGCCTTTCAGCCATCTCCCTCTATCTCTCTTCTGTGCTCTGTCAGCGTCCCTGCATGGATGGAGCCTCCCTCACAGCGATCGAGCCAACAGGAGGAGAGTAGCAGCAGTGGTGGCCTTCAAAATAAAAGCTTTCTTTATCAGTGGAGTTTTAAGCTTAACAGTTTCAAGCTGTATTTAGAAAAAACAAACAAACAAAAACAACTATCTGCTCTCATTTTTACAGATTTCCACTGTTAGATAAAGCTAATAGCTGGCAAAATCACAGGAAAAATATGAATGTACACAATACCTGTAAAAACATTGTTTAAAAAGGCAACTGTAAATAATGTCCACTTCAAGAATTTCAGCTTTTTACAAATGGTAATTTAGTCATATTCAACATTGAAATGACAAAACTTTTACTGTATTCAAATCAGAAATCTTTATTTTAGAGGTATGTATTTATTTGTCTATTTTTGTTCAAAAGAAGAAAAATGCATATTGATGACTGAAAAATAAAACAATTAGTTGAACTGTTTTTTATAGATTTTTACTGTTATATTAGAGAAAAAGACCAAAAAACTGTATAAAATGTCCACCTCAAAAATCTGCATTTTTTTTTTTTCAAATAGTAATTTGGTCTTTATCAGTGTGTGACCGAAAAATACACTGTTGCACAATTTTATTTGTCTTTTCTTTTTTTTTAAATAAATTAATAAAATGTTTTCTCCCTTTTATAGCATACATAGAGCAACAGCTGTCAGGCCAAAGTGCTTTCCAATAATAATAATAAAAAAGACTGACATTACTAACTCAGCTAGCAAGCTTAAATATAGCTGTTACAACCCCACAGTGTTTAAGTTGTTAATTTACCTGAGTACTCACTAAATATTACAGTCCTACAAAACTTTTATATAAAATTCTACTTTACCTGACTACATTAAATATTAAGTCTAAGACTAGACAGTAGCCTATAATGAAAGTGTTCAGTAAAGTGCTTCATGGTTTCAGTTGAATATTTATTATATATTTTGTATTTCATGTATTGAACTGGTTATTTTCTCTGCACACCTCAAGGTTTCATTACTCCTTACAGTTTTATTTATTGTAAAAAAGCTACCATTTGTTTGTGCTTTTAATTTTTAAGGCAGCGTTTTATCTTCGAACTGCATCCTGGGTAACTCTCTATGACTTGACACTCGTTGTCCTGACTGCCATCAGACACCCACACCAGTCTGACCAGGACCAACCTGGGCCAGGCCTCAGTGACGTCACCCACAGTAGGAAGGGACAAACTAAGCAGTGTTTAGGAGGACTGTGATATGAAAACATTTTTATACTTAAGCACTGATTAAACAGGAATCACATATTCATCTGCAGTGATTCCTTGCCGTTGACCAGTTCGACTGTTGAAAGAGGAGCCACTGTTCTCCAGCCAAGAACTAAACATGACACGGTCTCTCAACCCAAACAGAAATTCCTCTCCCCCACTTTTGCTTCCTGGACTTGATAATGGTGTCATTTTCTAATCTCTTTTTATCCCATTCTGCAATCAGGGCCGCCACCAGCACTACATTATATTTGACGATAAATTGTCATACAGATAATTAGGATTAATGATTCCATTTACATTTTTTTCAGCTGTTTTTATAGTGGTGGTCAGGCTGACCATTGCTCACAGTGATTATGCACTGATCTTGATTATATGCAAGTCAGCTGAATTTATTCAGAGGAGAGGATGTGAGAGAAAACAGGCCTGAGAAAACACTGTAATCATTTTATTTTATATTTTTCTTCAGTGTTGTTAACCTATACATTTAGGATTCATCAGTTTTGTTTTTAGTGAAATATAGCCTAGATTACATTTTCAGATA